GGCCGCCCCCGCCCCCCCCCCTCTTATATCCTATCGTCGTTCGCCAACTTGCACACCGTCCCCCAAGTCCTTTGTATACGAAGTGACAGAGACGGATCTCCTGGCGACGCGGCCTGGGACGGTAGTTTCGGGTAAACAAACCACGATATATCCCAAAGAGAATTCCCCGCGCCGTCAGGCGGATGCACCGCCGCGTCGACAAGCACGTCCAGAATAATTTGACGACTCTTATATGTATATACACGTATAGCGCTTGCGCTATCTCGTCGCTCTCTCTCTCTCTCTCTCTCTCTCTCTCTCTCTCTCTCTCTCTCGCCCCCTCGAGAGTAATCCTTGCATCGTCACGACGCCCGAAGTGTCGGCGGCAAAGAATTTGAGATTCGCTGCAGCAGCGACAGCGGAACGATCCCAGAGTGCTGCTTTCGCGCGGCTAATAATTGATTATTTACCCGTTAAAGCTAAATTAAATTTCAAAAATAGTTCTAGTCACTCTTTAGGGAAACTTCAGCGCAGAATTTTCTCAAAAATTAGTATTTTGACAAGCTTTACTTTTTCGCAGCTGTAATATTCTTGGAGAATGTGATCGCCTTAATCAAATGATCTTCATCAAGTAATTAAAATGTTAAAAATGAATAGAGACATTATATATTAAGTAAAAAAACATTTAAATTATTTCTCTCTCTCTCTCTCTCTCTCTCTCTCTCTCCCTCATGTATTTTTGTCCAAATGTCGAGAAAATAGTCGTTCATTGATTCTTTTTAGAGCGTTCGTTAGTCGATCGAAGTTGAAGTACTCAAGAGATTAATATCCGAGCTTATCAAATTACAAGTTGAAGCGTTTACATACATTGGTAAAACGCGCTCCGCCGTTGGGAGAAAGTACGAATGAGAAATTCTATTTAGACACAGATTCATGAAATTCCGCCGTCGAGACCCTCTTGTTATCTGGAGAACAGCGGTGATTTCAAGCGTCAAAGCGGGAAAATTAATTATTCCCTCTGACAATGATAGACGTTATTCTTGCATAAGACTTAATTTCGTTTTCGTGAATGCGCGACTAAATGAAGATTGAGCGCGATTGCATTAAGTATTTCGTTAATCCTATTCTCGAATAGAACACTGAACGGCGCCGTTAATTTGCACTCGGGGCTATACCATGAATTAGATTCTTCGTCCGTTTCGCGCGACTATTCGGCAAATTAACATTTTAGATCGCACTGTCAGGAATATTACTTGGTCCCTGTTGTCGGCAATTTAGGGTGTTTACCCTGAGAAATCTCGTCGCTGGCGTCGACGGCACGCTTATATATACAGGCATTTAAGTATCCGCGCGCGGTGTTTTCGCCACCGTTTTCGTCGCAAATCGACAATCTCGTAATACACGATCGCAAACGCGATTTGTCATTAAAAATAAACCGATTAGGAAAAACGAAACGTTCACAAAACCATCTACATGCGCAAAGTTTTTAGACATTTTATATTTTCTTACGTAAATTCGCATAAAGCGAGAAACGTAACGTTTCGCGCTGTTATCCGTAAGGTGCTTGTATTAAGCGTGTAAAGGCACGAAATTCCTGGCTGAAAAGACTGTATTTATTCACGGCAGTGAACTCAAACGAGTGCAGGTCGAGAATAACAGTAACGGAAGCCCCTGCGGTATCGTACACAGCGATGCTGCGGAACGGAGAATATTGGGAATACCGTGTTCGCGGCACGATACCCGTGAAAAATTTTTATATTTTCCGCTTTAAGATTTTCCAGTTGGTATAGTATCGCGCATCCAAAATAACCTACCTGATGGCTCGACTATTTTCAATCTTTACATTTCCTAGCTCTCTTTCCCTCTTCTCTCGTTTAATCATCTTTTCCGTTCTCTTGTTCGAATTTTCTCGAAAAAAAAAATGGCCCGTTACGATCTATTATGCGTCCGATACAACGATGTCTGTTATAATATATTCCGCCGATACATGTGCGCGAGAAATTATACCTTCCTCTCTCGTATTAACAGAGCGGCGAATATAATTTTCAGGCGCGCATAATTTACATGTCTATTTTCCACGTTGCGTTCGCCTCGTTATATATTGATTGCGTCGCTCGCCCCGTCCCCGCGCGTTAAATACGCGCGCCGTGCGCGCATCGGCACGGCATCCGCGTGCGATGCGCGCGCGTTGACGTTTCGACTATCGGAAAGCGCGTAACGGAGACGACGGGAATATCGACGGACGGGGAGAGGCTCCGTTCTAGTAGAACAAAAGTAACCATGACGAAGGCCCCTCAGGGCGTCGTATCCGCGACGGGCGGCCTCGAAAACGGAAATATCGGGGATATTGTTCGCGGCGCGATACCGTGAAATTTTACGACGTGCAGGCACCCGCCGGGAGCACCCAGCGGGCCAAGCGCGCGCGCGCTCGCAGTAATTTTCTCGGGGAAAATTTTCGACGCGCCAGCTAACGCGCCCCGACCGGACGACGGAAGCGGCTAATTACGTCCGCCAAATCGACTTCTCTCTTTTTTTCCTTCTGTTTTTCTTTTTTTCGTGTCGAAACGACGCGAGAAACCGATTCGTTTTTCTCCCGGTCTGCAGACCGCGAACACGGAAGCCAACGCGGACGCGCGACGTTTCACGAACTGCAACCGGCGCGACGTCGAAATTACGCTGGACGAAAAGAGAGAACTTTCTTGATGACGGCAACGACAGTCGTTTCTTGTCCATTTTTACGGAGAAAATGGCGTAAGCTTGTAAAGCCCGTGTGGAGTATAGATTTTGCGACCTGCCGTAAAGCGTAATCGCGCTTATCGTAAAAGTGCAACGTAACGGTTATAGTGACGCGTAATGTAGTAGGCAAATTTCAGAGGAGAGAAAGAGACAAAGAGAGAGAGAGAGAGAGAGAAAGAGAGAAATGTAAAAGAATATTAACGGATTTAATGAATTAGTTGATAAATTTATACTGCCACTGGAATTGATCGGGAAAACGGATATTTGAAAATTGGCATTACAATTTTCGTGGTTTCTCTATAACGTATGCATACGTCCAATCTATATATAACAAGATTTTTATATGAGAAAAATTTTAGATGAACATTTTTACTTATTTAATCATGCTCATATTAAATTTCTTTATCGCTAACAATAGATATATTCGAATGGGGAAACTGCCGCAGGGAACGCGATATATTCTTCCCATTTTGTACAATATATATATATATATATATATATATGTATATATATATATATCAAAGTTTCATTAGTTCTTCCGTACCCTATCAACAATAATAGTATAAATAGCAGCCGACGTGACGCTGAAAGGTTTAATATTTCACTGATCGCGTATATCCCTCTCCCCCCCCTACCCCCTCCTTTACGCCTGCAGGATATGAGCGAAGAAGCGTTGACCTAATAACGCAGTCGTTAGACAAAGTTGAAATATACCGACCGAAAGATCGAATGTACGGAAACCGGATATTTCATTTCGAAACTCGACGCCGCGATACGTCAACGCAGAATTGCCCCTCGTCCGTACTACTGCCGAACTTCCGTTACAAATTTTACTCTTTCGCCTCATCCCCGCGGCTAAAGTAATTGGCTTTTCTCTCTCTCTCTTTCTCACTCTCATCCCCTGTAAGATCCTCCTGTTACCGAGTTAAGTGTCTCGCGGATCTGCTTTCCTCCTTTTCCAGGAGGAGAAGGAAAGTCCTGGCATTCGAGTTCATAAATTTCATCTCGCGCGCCGTCGAATTTCTCGATGAAAAAGATTTATGGGAGAGAGAGAAATGCCGAAAGAGAGAGAGAGAGGGGGGAATGAGGAAGGGGGGGGCAATGCAGAGAAAGAGAGAGACCTGTTTCCTCGTAACCCGTTTTCTAATACCCCTTTAATTTCCCGTTTTCCATGGCCCGCTAATTCGCGCGGCTCCTCCGCGATCTGACTAATGCGATTAACGCGGCGCCGTTCTCTCTCACCCGCCGCGGCAATGCCTGTCAACAACTGTTCTACAAGTGCCGCGACAATCGCGGATGGGGTCGTCGTCGTTTCACCTTCCCGCCTCGTTTCCGCTATTTTTTTCCGCAGTGGCCGTGTCAAAGACTCCTCTCGCCATGTACCATGAGGCGTGTGCAGTCATCTCGCGTGTGGCAAGTCTCGATTAAATGCCATATCTATTTGCATGGCAATGCATAATAATTAGGGGCTGAACTAGGGCGCGACAGATTGGTACGAGCAGCTTAGCCGCCTGTCTATCGCCGCGCATCAACTGCAGTATGCAACCGCAATCCTTCGTAATGCCGGCGCGCGCCACATCTCGCAGATGTTCCCTCCGCGCGCGCACATATATCTCGCGTAAGAGGGGGGGTGTAAATATGCACCGGAGCCGCGAGAATTCCGCCTCGTGTACCTCCGGGTTGCGGGATTTTCCGCGAATAATCGCTGATCACGATCGGCCAATCTGTTGCGATATTAAATTTCGACTCGTTTTATTTTCGTTTGCCGTATTACACTTCTTAATTTACGATCCCGCCGACCCGTTCGCCGAACCGTTGTTTAATAAAGACGCTCCTATACTTCGGCATAAATTGCGTTTGAAAAGACACTGCTTCTATCGCTTCTATGATTAAATGCTTCCATTTATAATGATACTGTCTTTATATTGAAAAGCGTTGAAATGTAAAGATTCAAAAAAATCTATCGAATTAAACTTAAATAGAATGAAATTAAAATTAAAACGCAATATCAAGATATTGTAATCTTTTTTTCTTTGCGTTAAGCTATTTGTTTGTGCAGCTGCAGTTTTCAAGGTTCATTTTTATCCTCTTTGTGCACAGACACATCCGGAGAAAAATTGTATCGTCTTAGCTCCGACCAGGATGCCACGGCACGTCACCAAACAGAAACTTTTATGTGATTGCAATTTTGAAATGCCACGATGCCCAATAACAGAATTGCATTTTTGCGAGGAGCTATTGAAAATTGCAACAGACAGCTTGACAGGGTAAAATAATCGCGTTAAAAATAAAAAATTCAAGCAATTTTATATGCGTAAATTCGAAATAAAATTGCGCACGTGTGACTTGAAGTACAGCGAATAAAAACTTATCGGACAGCCTGACAACGGCGTGGAAACGGCTACGGAACAATTTGTTTCGATGGATAACGGTCGACCTCTGACATTTCAATTGGGACCTAAACACACAAATTGCCTCGTCGAGTATGCTTTAAATTAGTAGTGAAAGAATAGCTTCGGATGCCGCAGCATGCGCCGCAAGAAGCGACCTGACAAATGGCGTCGAATTAGGAAGCTGTATCCCGACGTCAAGGAGGGAGGTCGAAGTACGTAAAGATGTTTGCGACGGAGATTAACCTACCGGCGAATTATTATCGTAAATTATTAGTACTTAATTAATTAATATTACTGCTGTAAATTTTGAGAAGCGGAAAATTCCTTAGCGAGAAAATAGCGCGCCACTTCAATTTCCCCGTCGTCGCTCGGCCACGCGATAATTATTCGCTGACAGAAGATAATTTAACGCGCGTTATTAAATGCGTCGCGGCGCGGAGAGAGAGAAAGAGAGAGAGAGAGAGAGAGAGAGAGAGAGAGAGAGAGAGAGAGAG